GGGATATTCCACGGTAAGACTTTACAAAATTTTCCGAAAACTGGATAAGGGTTTTATAGTTAGGCTTTGCTTCATAATAAATCGAGATGGTGTATTTCTATCAGGATATCTTTCGCGGTGCCATTGTAAGTCCAATTTTATGTTTTTGTGGTTCAAAAAGTATACTTCCATTAAATTAAAATTATTTTGATACGCCATGGTTACGTTAAAGTTCACAATACAAAGCAAAACTCCTACAATGTTAATCACAGAAACAAAAGAATAAAAGTTTCAAAATGGAATATATTTTTGAATTGTTTCTTTATAGTTAGCCAGCAAGCGCTCGCACCAAACTGCACTTAACCAGCTCGCGCTAGCTGTAGTAATTGAAACGCACTTCTCTTCACTTCTCCGGTTTCCGTTCCGCTATTCAGTATCCGACTTCCTTTAGGTATCCGGCAAATATGTATTAATAGATTTTGAAATGATATTTTAATCATTATTTAAATTGACGTATTAATCGATTGTTTTTATCAATATTTTAATCGATATATGAATTTATATATTAATTGTTTACTAAGACAATTTCTTTCTATTTCCTCTAGACAAATCAATCTTTTTGTGGACGCAGAAAAGAACAAAGCTTTATTTTTTACCAAAAATATTATATTGGTCTCAAGGTCTCAAGGTCTATAAATTGGTCTCAATTAACATTTTTGTTAGATTAAGCAAAACTTACTGAAATACAATCAAAATAAATTACTTTAATTTTCTCATAAAATCCTTTTCAAAAAGTTTTCCTAAATGTGCGGAGAGGAGAAAAATCTAGGAAGGTATAGTTGAAATGATTCAATGGAATGGATGCGTTGTTAAAAAAAATATATACATCACATACAGTCAATACATCATACATCATTTACATCAAATATTTTAATATAATTAATTCTGTTGTGATTTCACTTTAAAAGCCTTTCTAATCTATCACGTGACCAACAAGGACTATTCTTGCTTTTCAATGAAGTATTATATAAATTATACATACTCTATATCTATATCCATCCATATAAATATGTAGATTCTAAAGCTTAGCTGTCTTTCTATTGAAACGTAAATAGAACCATCGTAAAATCTCAATTTAGTACTAGACTTTGTACTTTATGTGGTCGTTGGGTACTCCTAATGCCTGTCCACATGACCACAAACCCTTGCAACAGAACAACGATACATGCCTGAAATTATACGCGATGCGATTGTAATTAAAAAAATATAGCATTGCCTTTTCTATTTTGAAATTACCAAAATATAAGTCTCATAAACATGGAATCTGTAAAGGATCCGAAATTTTTGGAACAATAAACGCGCTAAAACCAGGCTAGCATAGACATGGACTAGTTAGTATATTTAATGTGATATATCAAATGATAAGATTAAGAGTCCAACTATGTTTTAAATTTCTAGCTAAATAAATATGGACATAAAACCTGCCAATTGTCGGTATTCGAACTCCTAGGTTTACTTAGCTTTACATCTCAATTCCCGGTACTTTTAATACAGTAATTACGTTTTTGTTCCATTTAGTTTCTAAATTATAAAAAAATATAAATTACACTATTGTGAATAAGCACAATGAATTTTACTCACAGTGATAATATTTTATTGACACAAAAAAAATTAAGCTTTTTGTTTTTCAACCATACCCTTTTGTTCATTAATGTTTAAGTAGACAATAAAGTTTAGAAATGTCACGTTTAGAATATGGTTGGGCATTATTATTGTATTGTTTCCTTTTATTTCACTTATTTATAAATGAAAATCAAATTGAAACAGGACTAATGAGAATTTGTATAAAAATGAACAAACTCATGTAATCTCGAGAGATCCCTTACGAAAAACATGAATTATTGTATTTGTTTATTTAAGAATTTTATTTATTATTTTAGAACTTATATGATTATAAAAAACTAAGTGTACGTAAAGGGGTGCTGACAAAAAACTTTAATTTTTTTGGTTAAATCCTGTAGAACATAGAATACAACGAACAAACTTCCGGTAGGTTAGGTTTAAATTCTGATCAGACACCGAAGTCTTTCGCTCTGTTCCCCGTATGTAAATATACTCCAACCGGAAAAATAAAAATATTAAAATGTGTTGCGGAGCCATCTAGTCATCTACATAATCTTTGATAAAAATTGCGTATTGTATATTTTCATTGTTTTCAGTTAAAATATTATATTATATTCTTCAATTCAAAGATATTGTTTTAGGTGTTGAAATATTAAGTATACAGTTAATAATATGTTATATATACAGCCACAAAAGAACATTTTCTGTTGTACCGGATAGAATAAAATTTAAAATGTAACAATTTTAAACGATTTCATCAGGTTTGTATTTAGCTTTAGACGTTTTGGACCCTTTACAGGTTACGTTAGAGTGCGTGAAAATATAGGAAATCAATAAATCAGTAATTACTATTGAGAACAGTTAAATTTGCTCAAAAATAACACGTGCCAAGTTAAATCACAACACACCCCTACTAAAATGTAATTATTATATAGAGTATATCTATCTCATTCACCACCACGAGAGGGAAAGAGAGCACTAAATATTAAACAATGATCTCTTTCGCAAACTTCATATAAATATCGAAGGTCAAGGAAGAAGAAGTCAGTTCAAGTGCAACCACCGTCCGGGGTACACGTTATAACTGTGCATCAAATATTAACTTTTCGAATTGTTTCTTTTTATTAAAAAAATACGAATTCAATTCTGTGCGTGTTGGATTCTTGTTATTAAAGTTTTCTGGGTAAGTATTTGTTTTACTATTTGTCTTACTGGCGATTTTGTTTATGAAGATCTATCGATTAAGTCCATGTACACTGATACAACTCGAGTTGTATCAAATTTGTTTTTTAATACAAGCCTTTGTTCCAGTGATAGTATAATACAAGTAAAATAGTCAATAATATAAATACTATTTTATATGAAATCTTTCTGTATATCTCATCATACGCCATTATCTAGTTCGTCAAATTTATAATATCTAAATTGCAGTTTTTGAGCAATATCGAAATCATTAATAAAATCAACAAACAAACAACTAATGAAATCAAGTGGAAATAATTCTTAGTGTAAAAATATTTAAAAACTCTAGTGAAAAGTTAACATGTTAAAGATGGTTCAGATTTCGTAGGAGACATAGATTTATCTCAAATGTTTCGCATAACTTTTTAAATTAATCGATAGTAAATATATTGTCTGATTTCTATTACCATAAAATAAAAAATGGTAACGCCAAAATGAAACAAATAATAGATCTACCTAATGGTAATAAGTATATAAAAATATATATATTTAGCATTTTACTTTTATGCATTTAAATACATAGATGAAATATATCCATTCAAAATTATCAAATCAGTCTCAGCTGGTCTAACAATTACGGCAACGGTGACAAGTGTGTGAATCTAACAACATTTTGACTTTCAATAATACACAGAAATCTACCCCTAAAATATAAATCAATGTTAATTATATGATCTAAAGTAAAAAAAAATTCAACAAAAAGTGGCTCTAATTTAATCTTTAATATATGTTGAAAGTCAACATGTATCAGTCTTCACGTTGGGCACAATGCTTATCTAACATTTATTATATTATATTTGATAAATCAATATGTACAAAAAACTTGTTAATGTAATAAAAAAATAAAATAAAAACTTATAAGCAAGTGTGCAGTAAAGGATTTCAGTTCATTTTCATTTAACACGTGATTAAAGACTCACTTTCGGTGTTTACAATGACTTAAAAAAAAATAGCGCTTTATGAGCAACTGTATTGAAAAATTATATAAAAAAATAAAATTATTAAATATATATATCATCATATTTTGTCTGACTTTATGTAAAATATATAAATTCCAAGTTATCAAATCAGTCTTAGCTAGTCTAAATAATTAAGGTTAAATAAATCGTACGTTAAAAAAGATAAGAATTCAGTTTCATTAATACACTATGTTAACAAACATATGAGAGATGTCGTATCGTTATTTCTTAATATTTATGAATTCCATTAAAATAAAATAATTTACAATTTTATTATTCATAAAGATTAAATAACAATGAAAAATGACTGACTTACTGACTGAAACCTACACACTAAACTACAGAGTAGGACTTGCTACCGGTTTATATCAGCATCGAAACTCCCGGGAAATATTCTCAATCATACTTGCCGGTATTGATTAATTCGGTTATTACATATTTGTTTAATTTATTTTATTCTATTCATATTGAACTAGTTAGATTATTGTCATATTATTCGGTTTACCATGTTTTTAATGTTCAAATTCTAAATTAGTCTTTGGAAATGTTTCTCACATCTAATGCTTTTACGAAATATGTATGTTTATTTTTTTAATGTGAGTCATATTATAAAAAATAATAAGATAAAATAAATGCAATTTTCAGCGACGGCCGCATAACTTTTTTATTATCTAAGTGTTTCGTTAACAAAACAGTTTTAATTATAAAGATGTTTTTAGAAGTTAGCTATTAATAAAAGTCAAAAAACTATAAGGACGCTCAGTCATTCAGATCCTAAAGTATTCTTAATGATATGATAAAAAACTTCAATTCATTTCATGTAAAGTTTTCTGTTTATTTTTTATTTATTCAAAATTATTTAAAGACAGACATTTGACTATTTACACTGGAGGCAATTATAAAGCTACTATTGTAATTATTTCTTAAGGAGTTGTAAGAAGATTTGTATCATTCATATTAATATGGTTTGAAGGTTTGTGTAGGACACTATCGTATTTTAAAATAAAATTTATTTATATAACAGTTAATATAGCAAATTCAAAAATGGGGACTTCAAATGTCATTTATGACATTTGTGGTAATCAAACTTTTGAAAAGAATTTTATGGGTATTATAACTCATACGTGCTAAGAAACTTAAATTCTGTAATGAAAAAGTTTTGATATAGTACTAAACTTAATACAAACTCTCTAATACATGTCAAACGATTACGACGTGTCCTGTATGAAATTGTCTCTTTCGCTGTAAGGTAGGACTTAAATTAATAATTGTATGATTTTTTTTTTTTTTTTAACAGATATTATCACGTGACGTGTACATTACAAGATGGCATCGTTCAGTAATATCAAACAATTCCTGAGATCAAGCGTAACATCAGCCTCGGCAGCTTCGACCAGCGCCACATCAATCAATAGCACCAAGGAATCGGATCAGCCCCCAGCCATGAGACATTACAATTGTAATCTTGTCAATGAATCAATGAGGAATCCCATTCCAACCGATACCGTCCAGTCAGTACAGTCCGTGCCGTATGATGTTGAGACACTGCCCTGGAACAGAGATATGCCAAACCCCTTCGGTGCCATTGGTTCTGAGTATGCTAGGGCTAAAACGACTAGCAGTAGGAATTCCTTCGGCATATTCACTACAGTGCCTATCATGTGTTTTCGCTGCGACAATAGTTTAGCAACAACGCGTTGCTACGAGTGCAGTTCTCTTTTTTGCTACGATTGTTGTCGCAAAATAATATCTGAATGTCAGTTGAGAGAACACACGCTTCTCCCAATATTTCAACAGCCGCCCATCGGCGTTACATGTAATACTAACACCAATGACATCGATATTATTTTTTGTGAATTCCACGCCGAGCCAGTAATTTTTTTCTGTAAACGATGCACCAACTTGATCTGCCAAAAATGTACGCTGAATTTTCATAAAGGGCACAATCATATGACAATAAAAGGTACTGTTGATACATGGCACACAGATATGATGAAGACAATAGTAGATGCTAAAACTGGCACAAAATTTATAAAAACTGCAATAGATCGTGCCATGACTGTGTCAAAAGCTTATGAAAAAAAATCTACGGAATTCGCAATGCAAATCAGAAGAAATTTGCATTATCATGCTGGCGATTATCAAAATTATATTTTGAATAAGTTTGAATCGATGCGTCGTGAGCAGAAAAAAGAGTTTTGCGAAAATATTAACATACTGCGTGATTTGCTCGCCAGTTTAACTTATATAATTCAAACATTAGTACGTAGTATGGATTGTAAAGGGTTAAATTTGTTTATGGCAAAAGAATGTGGGAGATCCCAAGTGGACCACATTACATTTATGTTCAAGAATACATATATTCCTAAAGATAGACTAGATATCATGCCATCAGATTATGAATTATTTAATCAATTCAAAGTGCAATGTAATTTACAATCGATTGCTGCGAGTTCCGGTGTACGTATTAACCCTGATTCGGTCAGTCAAAACATTTACCAGCCGTTGAGGTCAATGCAACCTGCTCATGCAGCTCAGCCGTATCCTACTTCTAGTTACATTGCTGTGCGTGGTATTGGACAAGCCATTCCAGCTTACCGGATGCCAGTATCGTTAAAGCCAAACAGAAGTTCAGTCCCTGGAAGGCCTATATTTTCATTTGGTCCTGATGGTCAAGTTGAGGGCCGAGTTTCTAGACCGTGGGGATTTTGTATAGACAGAGTAGGCAATATGATAGTTGCTGATAGACGAAATAACCGCATTCAAATTTTCAGTTGCGGCGGGGACTTTCGAACCATGTTCGGTTCCAAAGGAACTGCTCCTGGCGAATTTAATTTACCAACTGGCATTACTACTGACGTTTTTGATAGAATCATTGTCGCAGATAAAGATAACCATAGAGTACAAATATTTTCAATGTATGGAAAATTTATCCTCAAATTTGGGTCGTTTGGAAAACGAAATGGGCAGTTCCGATACCCGTGGGATGTAGCGACCAATACCACAGGAAACATCGTTGTGACTGACACACTGAATCATCGTATCCAACTATTTACAAGCGAGGGCAGATACATTACCAAGTTTGTATTTGATCGAGCTCACCCAACAGCAATGTTGAAATTTACGACAATGCCGAGAGGTGTATGCTTCACGACTACAGGCAATATAGCAGTATCCGATTTCCAAAATCATCGCTTATTAATTGTAGATTCGACTCTATCGAAAGTTCTATATCGTAAAGGGCGTGATGATTACGGCCTTCGTGAGTTAGATCGTCCGTCGGGTATTGTGACTGACGACGAAGGTCATATAATCGTAGCAGATTCGAAGAATTATCGTTTACTCATTTTTAATTCCGAGCTTCGCTTGCTGGCCACTAAGTACTTAAAGAGTCTAGACCTTGACGACAATGACAGACCAAGTAACGTAGCGCTAACACCAGAGGGATATTTGGTGGTATTGTTTGAAACGCGACCAACTCGCGACATTTCTTTGGTTGGCAAACATTTCATTAAAGTATATTGATATAGTAGCTCGGTGCCGTAGTGGATAAGCGCCGCGGCCCGCGATCGTTGTCGTTAGGCAACTTTCGCAAGGGTCGGTCACGGGATGGGTGACCAAAAAATTATTATCTCGAACTTCTCCGTGCTTCGGAAGGCACGTTAAGCCATTGGTCCCGGCTGCATTTGCAGTCGTGAATACCTTCCAATCCGCATTGGGCCAGCGTGGAGTGTGGGTCATGACCCATCCTCCTTAACCATCCATAAGGAAGGCCTGAGCCCCTGCAGTGGGGACGTAAAAGGGCTGATGATAATATTGATTTAAATTATATATAAAGTAAACAAAGTAATCCTAAGGACCGCATGTTTTTTTTTTATTAGTTCAGTTGTGGTGTATTATTGTGATATTTTAACTGTATACCAGTTTTGACGATTCCAGTCGAGCTTAGTTTGACTAGAGAAATAGCGTTTTCAGTAAGCGATATGAATTATGTGATATAATTTTGCGTAAAATATTGTTGCTTATTTGTAGATTGTTAATATTTTTATGGATCAAGTCTTTCTATTTAATTTGTATAATACTTAATTTGCACCTATAACATTTTGCTCACGTGGATTACGTGATCTATCTATATTTCCTATTTAATTGACTTGGGGTATTTTTTTTTCGAAATCCTTTGTTAGCGAATCTCTGTTATTATAATAATTATTAGTATGAAAAAAAAAACATCTTAATCCGTCCAGTACAAGTACAAGTATTAATTAATAGCGTCCTGTTATTAGACACCTTTGTATTATTAATTATTATTTTATATTAGTTAGTATAATATTAAAGTCTGTACAGTAATTAGAATAATAAATATAGTTAATATTAGCCTAGGTTTATTCAGTATTTGGTACTAACGAGTAGTATGGGCGCGATGCGCAGAACAAACACAATGTTATTGATGTAATTATAATATTTTAGAGAAAGTATTGAGCCTTTTTCATGCTATTCTTATAACGTTATTCAGTCTTTCTTATAAAGTCTATAGATCCATGTATGTATGTAGTGTAGATTTCTCACATTTAATATCATACGAGTCGCGTCACAATCGTGTCAAAGTGGAGATGGATATAATAAATATATATCACTTGTAACTGATAGTTAAAGCATTGTTGTACTGTCCTCTGAGGCTATGGCGGTGGCGCCGATGGATTTGATTGCCGTCGTGTCCATTTTGATTTGTGTTTATGTTAGTATAATTGCATCTACCTCACTCGTAATAAATTGAAAACTGATATACATATATATAACGGTGGTCAAACCACTGATTTAGAAATCTTTTGTCTGCCAATAATATTTTCGTTTGTATTATTATCTTATAATTATAAATATGTGTAGATTTAAGTAATGTATGCGTTTGTATTTTTATGAAAAATATAAATTGATTGATAAAAACTTGATTTTTATTTAAACTCTACGTCGGTTATTTCTAAATAGTAATTACTATATATAAAAGGAGATGTCCTGACTTACTGACTAACAGACAACGCACAGCCTAAACCGCTGACAGTAGGAACTTGAAATACGTAGAGGTGTACTAGGAACGGATGTTTTGAAAATTCCATATCGAAAATCGCGCTATTAATTTGATCAAAGCACTTTGTGCAGGCTTTAAATCAAAAATATTAAAATGTTGCTCCAATTTTAGATTTAATAAATTGCAATTCTTTGTGGTATTTTGCTTCATCAGAACCTAATTAATTTACTGAGGACAGGTATTGCTAGGTCTTAACCTAAGATTTTCAAGTTGATAATTTTCTTAGTATTGGTTTCCAAGTATACACATATGTCGTGACCAGATCGTAGAATTGACCAATACCTGATGCGGCCAGCCTTTTCATGAAATGGAACTTACTGCTCACTTCATGATGTGGCCATGCCAGACCAATGAAAGATTTGCGTTTAACGATATGGGCGGCTGATAGTATGACTTCTTCATGATGTGACCAAGAGTAAGTGATCATATCGCAAAATAGTTCGGTAAGTCGCAGTAAGAAGCTCTATACAACAAATTAAAGAAAATAGATTGACTAAGCAACGGAAAGTAATTACAACTTTTTTAAATATAATGAGATAAATGTAGGAGTGCAGTGCGAAGTTGCAGCAGCAAAGGCTATTTCTATAGTTTTATGGATATGTCGCAGGTTATATTTTATAGATTAATATCTCTAAAGTTTTCAAAGATAAAGTGCCGTAACATATTTCATATATGTTTTTTTCTTTTTTTGTTGTAGTATCTTCGAAATTAAACATTAAGGTAATTTCATCATTAGCCTGATAAACAACAGCCTATTACTTTAAGGGTACAAATCTTGTATTACTTTAAGGGTCCCATGCAATATCGCAAGATATTAAAATATAAAGATATTACAAATTCCGCCCTGTCGACCCAATCTGGGACGCACTTCTCCTGTAGTTAGAATGTGTAACGAGTACAATGGCATGGTCATTGATGTCGTGACCGATCTCGATATATTCTACGATTCATTGCTCCATCTTAGAGTATTGGAATCATTTTCTGTATAGATGGTCCGCTCCGAATTTTAATGAATAATAAGTTTTTTTTTTATGTTATTTTTCAAATTAATTGTAACACTTCGATAAACTATTGTTAGATTCTTAGGTGATAGGTAATTTTATTAATAATAGTTCTATATAAATGTTAATGTTGTACATGTTTGTAAAGATATACACATCAGGTACGACTGATTCATTTTATGTATTGACTGATTCATTTTATGTAAATGTTGTGTGTGTATGCTGTTGGCGTGTCATAAATAAATAAATAGTGAAAAAAATTAAAAAAAAGTATTCCTAGGTCGAGAAAACTTCGCTAATGGAAAAGGCAATCCTCTTGAACTGGAGCTAGTCTTATTTGCATATTCACGATATCTGGTCCAATAACAGCTTTGTTTTAAAAAAATACCAATCATCCAATATAGGGAAATTCATATTCAAACTCAACGTAACGTTACAATACATCGGTTTCGATATTAATCCGATCATCCTCGGTCTAGCTGTATCAAAACCACATTGAATATGCAAATTCGAAAGAGATTCTTAGGACCAGAATTAAAAGTACAGAAAACTTCTAGATTTTGATGAACTAAAAGCATTTACGTTCCATTTATTTTTATATCACTAATATTTTTCCACTTAATTCTCGTATGTGATTTTTAAAATATATGTATTAATTGGCATACTTGATCAATTTTTCATTCACAATGTGAAAGCATCTAGTTGTTGGAATTACCAACATTTAACTTTAATTTTAGTAATTTTTAAGTTTATCGTGTGACAACATTGTATTAAAGGTTTAGTGTTGACAACACTAATTCCGCCCCTGTTCTGTACCAACCAATGTGGAGAATAAACGTACATTGTACTAAACGCGAATCTTTTATATATTTTCCAGCGCCAATATAGTTTACTTCTTTATTGCGTATTGCGTACACTAGTTACATCTCAGAGTGCCAGAGTTAAAGCGGATTTTTTAGACATTTTTCAATGAGAACATTTTAAACCAATTTAGTATTACACCAATTTTAGGCAGGCAGAATATAGAAATTTATACAAAGAACTATTATTTTTCATAAAAATTTATTAGGTAAATATGTCCGCTATCATTAAACTTTTGAATAGATAAATACATTATACACTTTATGACAGAATAATATGCATACACTTTTATCATTACTAGTCTTTAATAAAATACCCAATGATATAAAAGATTTGCCGGTTACTCGTTTTAAAATATTATTGCGTAGATGGCTGATTGAAAAAGCTTTTTACTCGATTGGTGAATTCCTTAATGAAGGATAGTTTATCAGTAATTAATTTATAAGCATGATAGTCGATACAAAGTTTTATAAATAATTTTACATAATTGCATCTGACATACTTATGTTTACTAAACTAAATTCCTTGACATGTTCAATAAGTTTAATATTTCCATTTGACATCTTATACATTATTTTTAATTATTTTATTTTATTTTTTTTGTACAATTTGATAAAATTGACATGATTAATAACGTTTTGACACAATTGTAATATTTTGATTAAATACTATTATTGTTAAATTTGACACAATTTTATGTAATTATGAAATATTTTAAGTTTCATCAATTTTATTATTATTATTAGGTATTATTATTATTATTTTTTGCATGCTGTTCAAAATGGCTAAATAAGTCAAAGCTCTTAAACTGAAATATCACAACTGTATATATAACCCTATTTATTGCAAATAAAGATATTATTATTATTATTATTATTATACTCGTAGTAAAGTTCACTTTAAATTCTGTAAGCAAAATATTCGTTAATAGAGTAAAAACCTTTCTCTACTAACCACACTTTCAGCTTTTTTGCAAAAAGGTACTGTATAACGGTATTGGGTAATATGATTGTATAATAAAGATGTCATCATATTACAAGTTTTGACTTTTTAATAATTTTTCATTAAGAAAATGTATATCTACAATAAAATGAAAATAACTAACATTTACATAATAAAAATATGACCGTATGTATGAATCATTGTAGTTCGAAATAAAAAGAATTTAAAATAATAAAATATCAATAATAATGCCTTTTCTTAACATAAAAGATAATGTTATAAAAGATAATTTTATCAAAGGAACTTTAACGTTTTCTTCCCTTTTGTTGACCTTCACAGACGGTCACTAGTTATGACAATATCCCTTTGTTTACGAAAAGGTTATCTCAACCTTATTGTTTGTAACATTTCGTAAGGTAGTCAGGTTAAATAATACCACGTGTAAAGTGAGAATTGGTAATATTAATATATTATCATAAAAAATATACAACAATTTACACCATACTAGACAGATATATATTTTATTTTACCTCCTAAGCAGCTATATTTTTCGTTAACCTTTCTTAGCGAATCTCTATGTCACAATAACTATTAGTGTGCCAATCTTCAGGTCGCTAACTACATTGGCATTCTGAATGTGTAATAAGACGGCAACATAAAGTAACAGCTGTGAACTTTCGCTACGAAATAAATAATGCTACGCAGTATTAGAACCGACGAGAACGTCTACGTGTCCACGTGTGTGTCTCACCCACTAATAGTCCGTCAATCGGCTTAGATATGCATCATCAAATTTTAAAACTACTAATTACTAACTAACAATCAAGGCCCAAGCTATTGAGTAAATGCAACGAATAAAAGGTGTAGAAAACTTCCATATACCTTATTGAAGGTGATAACATTTATGTTATATTTACTTAAACAATATTGTTCCATTTAATTCCCTTACGAATTAAAAAATATAAATATTACAAATAAAATAACTAACATTCAGATGATAAAAAATATGTACCTGTGAGTCATTGTAGTTCGTAGTATTGAAG